ATTGGAATTTGGGCGCTCTGGCTTCTATTTTATTTATAAAATTTATAGTGTTGGTCTGACCTTGCTTTCGTAACTTGGTTAGGGCATCAGGGAGACCTTGTGCCACAGTATTCGGAATTTCCAGCATCATACCACTGACTTAGTGCATTACCAGATGTCTCGCCGTCATTATAATCAGCATCGTCAGTGAGGGACACCATCTTTAGCACAGAGTTACAACTTTCTAAAGTAACAAGTGAAGGTAATCCCCTCGACCAATTTTATGTTTAGCTCTTGTGGCATCACTCCTCGCCCCTATTTTTTGTCCTTCCTTCTAGTACTGCACATTTTTTTTGCAACCCCATTTCATATGGCTCATTTATCTATTCATCCAATTCTGTGCTCCCGTTTCCTCCAATGTTGCCCAAGAGTGTGTCGGTATAACTGGATTTAGGGGGGCATACTAGTCCTCACACTCGGTTCCAGGTGCCATTTGAGGAGCCTCTTACCTTCATTCAGCTCCCTTTACTCCATCCCGCTTGTTAATTGATGGCTGCTACACATTACAATCACTGTCTGGTTGTCTGAAATCTGATTACCTGTAACTCTTCAATTCCCATCCCTATTTACATCATATTCGGGAATTTAGAGTAGGTAATGCCAATGCCTGGATATCTTCCTTTCCTTAGGCTTCAGACTGATCATACAGTCATCCTTTTTGCCTCCCCATCCACCTGGCATTTTATTGGTTGGAGCCAAGTGTTCAGCCTTATTCGGAAATGCCGGTGTGAAAAACGACCGCTTCCCTTTTCCACTCTTGAATCGCGCAAAGCACGCTCCTCTTGTCTCTCATGTTGTCAGTCCATTCTAATCCTAGTCATTTGTTTATGTCTATATTGGTTTGCATCCCCATTTTTTTGGTAAAGCATGTCGTTAGTCACCTCTTATTCAGGCGCATATTTAAAAATTGTTACAAGAACATACACGCACACTAAGGACCTATCTCTGGCACACATGTACTATTAGCTTAGCACCTATAATGGAGCATGATCTGCTTCTTCATGGCCTTTACTTTCCTATCCCATAATTCACAGCTAGACCCACACCAGTAACTTTTCAGGCTGATCTCATGTTTGATTATTTTCAATAAAATCGCCTTCTAATGACTTTTCTCCGTTCTTCATTATCCTCTTCTTGGTGATGTACCTTTCTGTTGCTGAATAGTTGTCCTGGGTTCAAGCATCTTCTTTTTATATCTTCGCTGTATATTAAAGTCTGCCCAGGCAGTACGCTAAAGTTTTCATTCCATAAGTATGATTAGGCTGAAAGCTAAGGAAACCACAGTGCTTTTCAAGAAAAGAATAAATGAAGAAGTCAGCAAAAAGGAGTGCTCCAGAGTTGACAGCATAAATTGTAAAAACTGCAAACACAAATATATCGCAGATACGAAAAGGACAATCAGTAAAATTATCAAAGAACACCAGTGACTGTGCAAATTGGAAGAGGGCAGAGTCAATGATAATTTTGCGTACTGTCTAAGCAGACTTGGAGATTCAGCGAAGACATCTAAAAGAAGATGCTTGGACCCAGGAAAACTATTTAACAAGAGAAAGAGACAACATTTTGGAATGTACCAAGGCAATGGTTCGATGCTGGAAATTACGAATAGTATGGTAGATGGCGCATGACTAGGTACATTTCACAAGATCTCTTTGATATCCCAGCCAATTCGCGAAAACAAGATCGAATCAACGCTATAAAGCTAAAGGTGACTGAGATCGAACACACTATCTTATTCTTCATATCGACCTAACAACAAGACTTAGTTGCGATAATGAGGTAAATCCACTTCTATACATCCAAAGGAGATTGCGACCATATCCAGAGCCACACCATCTTGGTCTTCATATCTTTTATTAAGATTTTTATCATTTTAACTATGATATATAAATCGCACTCATTTTAAGTGTTCTATGCAAATTAGTACAAAGAATTATGACTTCTATGTGTATAAGCTTTTCATTTTTTCTGCACGATATTTGTATTTATATATAGTCCGCATTATTGGCGATTTATAAGGGCTTCTTACCGCAGCATACGGGCTATAGATTACTTTCGTTTTTCGTGATTCATCCGAGGACACTCGCCAAACACGAAATCTTTAATATTCTTCAAAGTAGAATTGATCATATTAGGGATGACTCTATTATCTCATAACTTGTATGGTATTTTAAAATATAAATGACCCTTTCTCACAACATTATACAAACTGTACACATATTTAAATCTTATTTGTGTATTTATTTTTCTACTTTATAACTTTTTAAAGAACTTAACAATTCATCAGTCTTGCTATTTTTATAAATGACCCTTAGATTTCAAACACAACTAGAAAAGAAGCATGATGAATACACTTCAGCTAAAGAAAAGCGACAAGAAAGTGAAAAGAATCTGCATAATATCAGAAATGAGTATAAGAAAGCCCAGGAAGCCTTAATTAATGAATCCAAAAAAATGCACAACATGAGGGAGGAAGTTGATAATTTGTGCCTACGACTTTTTTATTTAAATAACGCCAAAAATGAAATCAGAGGAGATATTGCAGTAATGAGACGAGCTGCTGAAAAGTCTTTTGAAGACTTAAACAAGGTATTCTTAACAAATAGTACTATTAAAAACCTATAATTTTTACCTTAACTAACTTTAAATTCCAAAGGAAGCTCTCAGAAAGATATCTGCTGCAATATTAGTTATAAAAGTGTTTGACAAAAAATTATCAGTACATATTGGCTTAAGCAAATTTATATAATTTTGAGCATAAAATTTAATGATATAGACAAGAACTAATAATATTTCAAAAAATTTCCAGCCTTCATTTATTTTTACAAATCTGGACGATTTATTAGAAAAACAAAGTTGCACGAAGAATTAAAGTCAAGGTCTTTTGGAAATATTGCATGATTGGATTTTAAAACAATTAATTTAAATCGTGTTCAGAATATTGCATAAAAAATGATCGGTAAACATCATAATATTTGATGCTTCAGGTCCGGGCAGTTGAGGTAATGATGATTAATAGCGTGCATCCCCTCCA